TTAATTTTTGCATGACAATTCCTTTTGTGTTAAGTAGAATACCTCGTATATCCTGGTATTCGATCGTCGACAACGACATCTTTGTCTAGGTAGGCGTCTGTATTCTTGTCTTAGTGTTTGCTGTAATATTCAGCATCGTTAAAAGAGTGAAATTAAATGCAAGAATAAAACTAAGAAACTCAAATTACTTTTGCAAAANATACCTCGTATATCCTGGTATTCGATCGTCGACAACGACATCTTTGTCTAGGTAGGCGTCTGTATTCTTGTCTTAGTGTTTGCTGTAATATTCAGCATCGTTAAAAGAGTGAAATTAAATGCAAGAATAAAACTAAGAAACTCAAATTACTTTTGCAAAAGTCAGTTGTTTTTTATTACTAACTAGCTGATGAGCCCGGTGTTGCCAGGGAAAAAAGTAACAATAGCGAAGATTAACATTATTATATTATAGCCAATCTTACCAGTTTTCTCAGAATGCAAGAATTAGGTTGCCCTGTTTCCAGACTAATTAGAAAAATTTTAGATGGGTCCAAAAATATCTTCCATTTCTCTCAAAAACGCAAAAACTGGCATCTGCTTTTGTAAATCTTGCACATCACTTTCTCTTAACACTTCAATTGTTACTTAATCACTTCCATTGTTAACACTTTCATTGTTAATAACCTCTTCCCGCGGGGGAAATTTCGAAAAATCCCCTCTTAGTGTACGTTCTCATGACGCACCCTAACTGTGTACAAAATTTCAACCTTCAACTTCAAATTGTTTGGACTCTGCGCTTCTTAATATTCAGAGGGGCTATTTCAAAGAGCAATTTTGGAAACTAAAAATAACATTGTCGACGATATCAACTTTAATATTCAAAAGAAAATTCAGAACTGGCAAGAGCTCTTCCTCTTTTAAGTTTGAGCATTGTATAAAATATAAATCAAATCAACTGTTTATTAACAAATACACTAAGTACACTTTACACAGTTTTCACACTTTATTTTCGATTTATATTCAGTAACTGTTTCACTTTGACTATTCACACGTCACTGTTTATTTTTATTCACTCACTGCACTACTTTGGAATTTTCACTTCATTTTCGGTTCTTCCCTTTGTGTGAGATCAGCCAGGACGTAATCAAAGTTACGCCACTTACGACGCGCGATCGCGAGATCGGCTCTCAACTTTTATTTAGGAGGGCTTTTATGTTTAAGGATGATCTAGGCTGTGTAGTCTAGATCTACGTCAGGATTCCTTGACACCAGTTTGTCAATTTATCGATCCGCGGACAAACACGCGTATGCGATCTAATTCGGTCACACAACTAGGAGACATTTTAATTAAAAACGAAATAATAAATTTAATAAAACAAAGGAAATAAAACTCATACAAAAATCTTAATGAACGAGAGATAGAACTACTACGAATAATATACAGATCGAGAGATAGCTAAGCTTATATTATACCCTATTCGCGACCGAGAGAGAGCTCACAAAATTGTTATAAAACATACGACCTGTTTTAGTAGTCGTTCGTCTTCTTCTCTGTATGCAAGGGACACTTTGGAGATAAAGTTCATTTACTTCTTCGTATGGGAGATCAATATATGCACCAAATCCAAGTATGGTTTCTAAGTGCTAACTCTGGAATTATTCTGTATGTGACTCGTCTAAGGACGTTGGTCATCAGGAGGAAAATGTATGGAGTTTGGACGCTTCCAGAACTGTCGCTGAACTCGCCGAATTCTGACAAATTCCCTGTATATCTTCTGAATTTCGACCAATCATCGGCCAGTAACTCTTTCATGAGAACGGATGAAAGGGGAATGAATGAGGGGTAACCATTTCCCATCTGAGCGTGATTTTAACCAGATAAGGGAAAGTCAGAGGATGTACTAACTTCAGTGAAAGGAAGTAACATCTGTTATCTGCCTTTTCCCACGTTAAAACAGTATTTTTCTCACCAAAAATGAAGTAATATTTTGTGACAATATTTTAACATTATTAATAAAAAATTAATTTNCTTTGTGTTAAGTAGAATACCCCGTATATCCTGGTATTCGATCGTCGACAACGACATCTTTGTCTAGGTAGGCGTCTGTATTCTTGTCTTAGTGTTTGCTGTAATATTCAGCATCGTTAAAAAAGTGAAATTAAATGCAAGAATAAAACTCAGAAACTAAATTACTTTTGCAAATGTCAGTTGTTTTTATTACTAACTAGCTGATGAGCCCGGCGCTGCCCGGAAAAAAAGTAACAATAGCGAAGATTAAGATTATTACATTATAGACAATCTCGCCCGTTTTCTCAGAATGCACGAATTGGGTTGCCCTGTTTCCAGACTAATTAGAAAATTTTTAGATGGTTCTAAAATTATTTTCGATTTATCGTAAAAACGCAAAAAACCGCATCTTGCACGTCGCTTTCTCTTAACACTTCAATTGTTACTTAACCACTTCCATTGTTAAAACTTTTATTGTTAACAACCTCTCCCCGCGGGGGGAATTTCGAAAAATCCCTTTTTAGTGTACGTTCTCATGACGCACCCTAACTGTGTACCAAATTTCAACCTTCAATTTCAATCCGTTTGGACTCTGCGCTTCTTAATATTCAAAGGGGCTATTTCAAAGAGCAATTTTGAAAACTAAAATTAACATTGTCGACGATATCAACTTTAATATTCACAAGAAAATTCAGAACTGGCAAGAGAATTCTTTTAAGTGTGGGCATTGTATAAAATATAAATCAAATCAACTTTATATTAACAAATACACTAAGTACACTTTACACAGCTTTCACACTTTATTTTCGACTTATATTCAGTAACTGTATCACTTTGACTATTCACACGTCACTGTTTATTTTTACTCACTCACTGCATCACTTTGGAATTTTCACTTCTTTTTCGGTTCTTCCCTTCGTCACTGATAAGAAACTGACATTCGAACCCACGACTGATCTTGCGTTATATGCCCCCACCAATGGGTAGACCCACCCATATAAAAAAGGCTTCGAATGGTCCACATTGTTCTAGAACAATCCGCAACATTGGAGAAGGTTCTGGAATGTTCCACAATGATCAGGGATGTTCCGGTATAATCCCGAACGTTCCAGAACATCCCGGAACATTCTTGGAATGTTCTCGAATACTCTCAAATGTTCTGGACTGTTCTAGAAATTTCTAGAAAACGAAACATCCAGCCCTTATATCTTCAACAGCGCGCCCTTCAGGTAAAAACGGGAACCTACTTCATGGATGGGGGATAGAGGGCTACCACACCATATAACTCCCTTGATCGTACCGGGACTCGTTTTTGAGTTTTAGCCACACGCACATTGTACACTTACCTTTATTATTTATATTGATAATTACATAAGAATTTTTACAATGATTATGACAATAGTTATTACATTATGGCTTCAGTTTTTGAATGTTTTTTTCCTTTTTTCACGATTTGAAAAAGAGAGAATTATTCAATCTGGAAACACTTTTCTGTACCATCGAAGTTGGAATTTGGATGACTGTTATGAATGGAAGATTAATGTACAGTATCTCAATTTCTTTATTATCTTCTTTATTGTTACTTTAAAAAAAAGCATCCCAGAGTGTATCAGAAGATTTGTACGTGTTAAAAAAGGACAATCCAAACTTGAAATTAGAATTAAAAGAAATAATGGCACAACACTATGAAATTTGGACGTACACCAATCAACTCAAAGGGCCATTCAATTATGTATTAATGAAATTCGCCTTAAAAGTCTTTATTTTTCTAATTTGTGCTCTAACAACTTTTGGTCGTATTTTATTTGGATTTTTTATCTCTGTGTTTTCGTCAAACGTAAGAAATTTTATTAAAATAAAAATAATTAATTTATGGATTTGATCAGACGTTTCGGGTTGTTTTTCTCTTTCAGATGCAAACATCCTTTCAAGATATAAGAAGATTTGCTGCTTGTGATCTGAGTTTAGAACAGAAATTAAAGGTATAGTATTTATTGGTTTTAGTTTAAAAGCAAGATTTAAAAAGTATTTTAAATATTTTTATAAAGTTATAGTATTTTAAAGGAATTATATTTTTATCTTAAAATGTTATTTTTGTGAAATTTGGATATTTTAGCGTAATAGCAATCAATTATTGTCGACGTGCTGAATTTTATAAAGAGATTTGGTAATGCTTATCCATGAATGATTACTTCAACGTTACCAAGAAATTTCTAATTAAAGTACATTTACTACATTTTACAATATTAATTATGAAAATCTTATATTGACATATTTAGTTTTGAAATTTTTCAGATGGCGAGTTTTCTTCATTTCGTATTTTCTGGTCTTCTGAATCTTAGGAAAGCTTCAAGACAAAAGTACTAGCGTAAAGAATGTAAAGAAAACCTAATTTATACACGACACTAGGCTTTCTTTACATACTTCATATGTAATTATAGCCTTTATAGTGGGTTTATATCCTCCGTCTGTCGGCTTTTGTTTTTTTTTCTAAAGGTTTTCTTTCTTTTCCTTAACAACGTATTGAGAAGCCCTAACCTGTGCATGCACACACGTTTTTTAAAATGTATTTTAATGTTCTATAATTTATTTACAATGATCAAAAGCTTTGGAAGAAACAAAAGCCGATAGACGAAGGATATAAACACTAAACACGTATCGGTAACAAAAGAAGAATAAAGAATGTAAAGAAAGCCTAGTGTCATGTATTTTAAAGTTATTTATTTAATAGTAGTTAAGAAAAGTCTATCAAGCGGTCTATCCGGAAATCCGTCCATAAGGTTTCTCCTAAAAGACCTCTCCTTCCTTCGTGAGGTCCTAAAGGAATCTCTCAAAAATGTATTGTATAAGCAGTATTTTCGAATATTCTATAAACATTAGATTTTATAAAATTTTCGTAAAGCTTATTATGCATTTATTTAATCTACACGTTTGTTTTTTACGTAAACAGAAGTGTATTCGTATAAACAGTGTTTTATTTTTAATACGATGTAATATACCCATTTCGATTTGTGATTTTTAGAAAATGATTTGTTTAGCAATCTTCCTCCTGGCTTTTTCTAATATTACAAATAATGAAAATTCTGAAAATTTTAATCAGGAGTATTCTGAAGGTAAGGTTGTAACCCATAATCATTGTTAGTATTTTAGTTTTTACATTAATTAATTAGCATAATTATATTGGAAGCAGATTCGGAAGATGCCGATCTTGCCTTAGAAAATCCCGATCTGTTCGGTGGCGATATTATTGGAGATTTCGATGATGTAAATAATTATAGAAATTGATAGAAAATTTTAAATTTAAAATAATTCTTGTTACTTAAAATTAAACATTTTCAGATGAGGAATGCAATTCCATATAGAAGTCATTTGTGGCCCGGAGGAATCATACCATACGTAATTGACGAAGAACTTCGTAATAAATTATTTTATACATTTAAAAAAATTTATAAATAATTTATCTTTTAATATTTGGTTTAAAAACTTTTAGGAAATTCTAAAAAATCTAGACTGCTGATAAGGAGAGCTATGAAGACTTTCCGTGAGAAAACTTGTATTCGATTTAAACCGAAAACCAAAGAAAAAACTTACGTAGAAATTTTAGATGATAATCAGTAAGTTAAGCAGAAACCTCTAACAAGATGTAAGCAAAATTATTAAAGTTAATATATTTTCAGATGTTATTCAATGGTGGGTCGAAGTAAAGGAATAAACTTCGTATCACTGACTAATGAATGCATGTATTTGGGAGCAATCATTCATCAATTGAATCACATTGTTGGCTTTTACCACGAACAGAATCGACCCGACAGAGATGAATACGTAGAAATAGTTTGGGAGAATATAAAACCGAGTAAGAGAATATCAATTTCATTACTTATTTACATAATATATGAATTAAAACACGTATTTAATGCATTATAATATACTTGTAGAGATGGAATCGCAGTTCGTTATGCTTAGGCCAAATCAAATGAGAATTTTAAATGAATTTGATTATCATTCCATAATGCTCTATGGAGGAAGAGCTTTCTCAAAGGATAGGCACAGTCAAACTATGGTAGCTTTAAAACCAGGTGCGAGGCTCCGTAGCATCAAAGAAAAAGCAGGGTTGAGCAAAAGTGACGTTTTCCGTATAAATACTTTATATCACTGTTTCAATTCTACTAGAAATTATAAATGAAGGTCAATTATGCAAACAGTTATATTTTTTAAAAAAGGCAATGTATCTTTGTTTATATGTTATATCATATGATTACTGAACAATATTTTATGCTGAAATTTCATTAAATTATTTATTTGTATTGATAAAAGTTTAATGCTTTCATAATTAAATTTAAATAAGTCTTCAAAATCAAAATGTTGTTTTATTGAAAGTTTGTTCTATACCAGGGGTGGCGAAACTTTTTGAGCCCGCGTGCCATACTGTAAGCACACTTAGCTTTAAAGATGTTTATGCGTGCCGAAGTTTAAAACTTTGGCACGCATAAACATCTTTAAAGCTATAACGATATTTAAATAAATTAAACGAAAATGCTTTAATTAGAATAAATGAAACAATGATTAAAAAAGACAAACAATAAATCAAAATCATACGATACGTTACGTGCCAGATGATTTCTCCTTACGTGCCACTTTGGGCACGCGTGCCATAGGTTCGCCACTCCTGTTCTATACAAAGGTGAGTCGCTCATATTTTTGCAAAGAAATCTTTGTAAACTTTATAAGTAATAAAGTATTAGAACATGACAGAAATTTACTATTAGCGGAATGAAATCTTTGTGAGAGCTTTAACTTGTTTTTTTTATATTTTTCTGGTCGCATAAGATACAATATGTAAAGGCGTAAAGCCTGAAACTTTCTAAAAGTTCATCAGAAGAAAGTGTTTTTTTATAAGTCACATCAAAATATTCATTGTATCTGCGAAAACATATGTTTATTTTAACTCATTAAATTCATAGAAATAAATTGGTGTTTAAAGGAAACGATATTAAGAGATAATATTAATATTTCTATTAATTAAAAAAGTCTAGCAACGAGTTACTTAACTTTCCCGGCAATATTTGGTAGCGTCATCTGTTATCATATCTTATACGTTTTTAAATATTTTTATCTATTATAAAATGGCAAACGTTTAATTTTGAAAGTAGGGATGGGCTGTATAAAAATTGTAAATGTTAATAACGAGTATAATAGTTATTATTAAATCTGGTCTTACTGGAGATACCACGCACGATCCCCTTTATCTTCCTATTCTTCGACCTTTAATCACGAGAATTTAACAGCATCAATCTCCCTAACAAACAAACTTCGCTGCAAAATTTCAGAAATTTCCGATAAAAAGCACGGGAGTTATTAACAATCGAATTGCCCCTCTGTGGGGCGTGGGCTCCACGTTGGGAAATACTGTGCTAGAGCAAGAGAATTGTACAGTACCTCTTCTCTGATCTATCAAATTACTTTGTTTCATAGCAAACAAAGAAAATAAAAGCTACTTTACCGAATTCATATTTACATTTTTAAAGGTGCCTATTTGAGAATTTTTCTCAACAGGTGTTTACTTTCTAAAGTTTTGATGCAGAGTCCACGATTCTCCCTTATGTATGCACCATTTGCAGTTTGTGTGTAGTTTGAAATCTAGGATCTAATAAAGTTTTTTAAATCAAACTTTAAACTACTTTTGAGTGTCCATGTTTGCTACGTGTAATTATTATGGATTTTTTTCTATACACAATTATCTTGCTGAATTATCTTGCACAGACAAAACATCACAGCTGGCAGGCGAATAAAAGATGGTAGAGCAACTTCAATTGCTTTTTCTAGCTGTAGCAAAAATATAATTCTTACTTAGGATATAGGAGTCACCCACAATCATTTAAATTCAAATTAAGGACTGAAGTCTTCACTAATTTAATTACATCCAAACAGCCAGAACAATATGCTCTTCTACAACCCTACCTATAAATGTAGGCCATTGTTACAGAACAAATATTGGTCTGTATAATGTTACGAGGTCCTGATTACAAGCATTTTCAGTTATGATTCAGTAACCTTCAGTACCTCTTCGACACTCTAATTTCATCAGTTGACATATTTTTGATTTATTCGAATTACAAAGTGGCACAGAAAAACGTGCAACTGTAAATTAGTCTTACAATAACAGAAAAAAATCACTAAGAAAAATAAATAATGCTGAATAGTTATTCGTATAATACTGAAAAAAAGTAATAATTTTCAATCGTATCACGCTTGTCTCAGTGCAGGATATATACAGTACAACAGAAGATCTATGTGAGAAAAATCTACAAAATGCTGCCAGACAGGACACACCAGAAAAGTGCGAATGGCTAGGCTGTTTTATTCTGTGGGCTGTGTTCAACCTTATATCAGAGTCAATGAATTATATTGTCTCTGAATACCTATTGTTTTCAACCTTAAAAGTAGAGATAATAAACAAGTTTGTCGATAGATGTGCTGCAATCGTTTGGGCTCTTGGTTTGTTTATATCCTATGCAGAAAAGTATTATTTCAGCGTAAAATAAATGTTATATGATCAGTAATTAATACAAGTTAGCTTAAAATAAGTAAATAAAACTAATAATACATAAAATGCATTAACCACAAGTGATTAATCGGTTTT